TGTGTGTTAAAAACAGAAAAGTTCCCATGAGTGAAGGGGATAAGTTAGCTTTTCTAGCCTCTGTCTCTCCCCAACTCTCACTTTTCTCTGCCACCTCCCAAAAGGAATGAATTACATTTCTCTTCTTGTCCTTTAAATGAATAGCATAGTTTGGGTGAAATTATCGGGCAATTGCATGCCTTTTATGCAGATAATGCTATTTGATGAAAGCGGTGTTTTGATCTGCTGAGGATAATACAGATCCAGGGTTGGATTCATTGGTGAGAGTAAAGCTGTCTTCTGTGATAACTTCATCTCAGCATGAGGTCAGACGGGGAAAACTGGGATGGGGGATTAAAAAATGACACAGTCGGAGCAGTATTCAGTTCCCTGCTGTGCTCCTGGCTGCACACTATAGCTTATGTTTCTGATCTGTTATGGTATTGTCTGCCTTTCTCTCTCGGAGCAGAAAGAGATTGCTTAAAACTTTTCTTTTTTCAGCTAGAGGGATTAGTTCTGTGCAGCTTTTTTAATTAAAGAAACTGTATCTTTTTCAAGGCAATTTAAAGCTGCAAGGGAAGGACCATCAACATCTATAACTTAGTACTATTATCTGTAACAAAGTGTAAGCTCTAAATTTGATATTCAGAAATAGGGGAAGGAATCTAGAGAATTCTGTTGTATGTTTAACCTTCAATGGTTGCTCACATCCCTAAATAAGAATAGTAAATAAATTATTTTGTATAAGTCTCAAATATGTTTCTATAAGTAGTAATTTCCAGCGGCTTTGCTTTTTAGCTTAGCTCGGCTTGCTTAATTAAATCTTCATAATGATAGCGAAGTGCACTTGAAAATTGTGTAAGAGGAAATAGATTTGACTATATATCCTTTTCTTTACTCAGAGATCAGTTTTAAACATTTCCATTCTACTGAAAGTGATAACAGTAGAAAATGTCTGCTTAATATGGGCAATTTGCATTTAAACAGTGCAAAGTACAACATTATGGTACTTTATCACAGTGAACCTTTGCATTTGTGATAAGCGGTCATCATCTTTATTAATCTGAGGGGAGCATGGATTGAGTCTATCCAAAGTGATGATGAATTTGTCAGGACATATACATTTGAGTTGAATTTATAGCTCAATTTAACCCAGGTTAATGTCTAAAATCCTCAAATGTTTCAAATAAGGCCCATATGGTTATCACTTTACAAAGCATACAGGCTCTGCGCTTCGGTTGCAACATACACATCTCCAACTAAATTCCATGCCAGATCAATTAGAAACAGTCCTCCTGAGCAGACAGGAACAAACAGAGATTGTTTCCCCAATACCAGCTGAACCCTTGTCTTGAAGAAATGAAAAGCAGTCATCTTAAGCTCTGTACTTCTTACCATTAAAAATCCAAAGAAAATTTGGAAAACAATAAAGGTTTTGTTATAATGTCAAATTTAATATAAAAATCTACATTTGTTAGGTGCTCATTTCAAATTTTTCCCAATATTCAGTAATGCTGCATTTTACTCAAAAAGGAAAACAAAATTTGATTTGATCTCTTTGCCTCTTCCCTTTTTTTTTTTTTTTTTGGTCTTTGCTTCCAGCTACGCTTAGGAGACAAGTCAACCAAGTTCAAAGGTGGCACCTTCTAATGACTAGAACTTCAAAACTAAGTTCCATTAAAACACTGACGGTCAGAGAAGTAGAAAAGTGTACTTATTAAATATATTTTCAATGTAAATTGTTCCTGATGTACTCCTTTTTAAAAATACGAAGTCAGAATAATGACTAAATATAATAAAATATTTTATCCACATAGCCATTCATTTACTGAATAAACATTTATTGAGCATCTTCTATAGGCCAGTCCACCTGTTAGGTTCTATGGTTTCCAAGATGAATAAGATAAAGTCCCTTTGCTCCAGGAGCTCTTTATTGGAAAGAGTCCATACAAAAAACAGGGTTGTTGTTGTTATTTTGTGGAGCTGGGGATTGAACCTAGGGCCTTGGGCATGCAAGGCAAGCACTCTACCACCTGACTTATATCCCCACCCCAGGGTCATCAATATTATACACAAGAAATTCAGTTAAATCACTGCTAAGAAGGAGGTGTCACTAATAGGTCCTTTAAATGCTAGGCATTCCTGAGACCTAGATTGCAAGATATTCCAAACTGAAGGTTCAGCAGCAGAAGGAGAAAGAGTTGACACTTCTGGAAAGTTAGAAGATGTTTAATTCATCTGATACTGAATTATATTCACCTGATACCTACATAATTTTTAATATATATTTTTTAGTTGTCAATGGATCTTTATTTCTTGATATGTGGTGCTGAGAATCTAACCCAGTGCCTCACACAGGCTAGGCAAGTGCTCTACCACTGTGCTACATCCACAGTCCTTGATGCCTATATTTTTAACCTATAAATAATACAAGTTGATTCATAAACTGGATTCTAGACTAGCTGAAGGAAGTTATCATATTAATAAAATTCTCCTTCTGTGTCACTTGTGTGTGATAAACTTTGCCAGCAGCTAGTGCCTACCTCAAATACACCATATATACTACTTACCAAAGAATTGTTTATTTAAAAAAATGAGAGATTTTAAGAGGCACTCCATGATAACTATCAATTATAACAGTCCCATCTTTCACTGTAGAACCATGTGATAAGTTTTAAACACATACATTGAGCTTAACCAAAATCGAAAGTACCATGTATTAAAAGATGCCTCTGTGCTCAAAATCCTCCACAGAACTTGGGGTCTTTTATGAGGCACTAGAAAAACCACATCAGCAATTTTTGTTTGTGCTCCCACAGCTGGGTTTTCACCAAAGGTCAGAGCCACATGCAAGCTGGGTCTATGCAATAGAACACAACCTAATGTACTGGAAAAGCATGGCACCATTTAGAAATTGATTTTTCTCATCACCAGTCTACTCTGTGGCTCCAAAATGCATGTGCATTGATAGAGGCCTATCTTGACTTAATTAAGATAATGAAAGCATATTTTCCACAACAAAGAGTCATTTAATTTTATAACTTTGTCAGTGATCAAAATAGAATATCTATTTTACAGTTCCCCTCAATCTAACTGCCAGGGGAAATAAGTTATTTTTGCAAGTGTAAAACAACAACCTGATAATAACTTTATGGCTACTTGAGAGTCTTATGTGTAAAATTTAAGCTCTAGTGCTGTAAATTGTTGCAGATTGCTTGCTTGCTGTATGCAGAATGGTGTGTTGATGGGAATACTTCAGGTGCCTAGAACTTGGGTGACCACCAGCCTTTAGTCTGTTTCAAGTGGCCCATCACGTATTTGTTGTTCTCAGTTGATACCCAACCTCCTTCTGGCCATATCTGGATTGTGGGCTTTCCTGATCTTTTCAAGGGGTGAGCTGATAGGTCTATGTGCCTGTACTTTGGCTCTCTAAACCATTTCCTGCAGTTCCTCATCAGTGTCTCACATTCCTTGAGTGGGAGTGGTTACAGCTCAGGTGGCAACTCAGTTTAAACTCAGTAGTCAAGCACTGACCCTCAGTTTGATGCAATAAGCCCAAAGAACGCCTATAAAGTTAAGTGTTGTCTACATATCTCTTTGGAGAGTCTCATACCTGACTGACGTGGTGCTCCCCTTCTGCATGCCTGAAAACCTCCCACAACAAAGAAGGAAGTGGCTGCAGAGACCTTCTGCTCTCCAAGAAAGGAAAGCAGCAGTAACAGTTGCCACCCAGTCCCTTCAGCTCCAGGCTGGATTTTAGGAGAGGAGAAAGTAAATAGTTTCTAAATCAACAGCCTTAGGGGAGAAGCACCTGATGCTCCAGCTAAAATGGGCTGGCATCACCTTCAGGTGGGGTACTTGACAACTTGGCTGAGGTTTAGCCCATGGGGAGTTGGACCCCTAGAGCAGGCTGGCATCAGCTCTGTCTCAGCGGCTGGGCAAGAACCTGTCCTTTTCCCATCCTTCATTTCAGATGGCACAGCAGGGATCTTTCCTAAGCTCAAAGTGAATCTGGAGGATAGGCCCATTATCTTCCTCCAGAGCACATTTTAGAGGTTTGTTAAGGCCTCAGGCATGCATTTCCCCGGGTAGGGATAGGGGTTTTGAGGGAGGCTGGGTCATATTTTCTTTTTGCAGAGCTGTATATCTGTGTGACAAAGGGTGGAGGGGCCATGGGAATGCATGCAGCCAGTTTGGACCCCATTATCTGGTGCATTGCTGGCTGTTTAACACCACAACATCACCAGCAGTGTGGGCAGTTTGCTGCGAGCAGAGGTTTACAAAACAGACAGCGATGTCTTGCATGTTTTCTCCTACTCCCCCCCCCCCCGCCTTTTTTATTACTGCTGAGGGCTTGGATGAGCTACTAGCCATTCCCGCCCTCCCATGACAACACCTCAGTGAGGCAAAGAGCCTGATGGTCACGTAGTGAGCTGCCTCTATGCTTTCTAGGGATGCATTTGGAGGAGGAAGCATGTGGTACAGTTTGGCACTACGTTATCAGTTTTCCTTAATGGCCTGAAACAACCGAACTGTGTGTGTTATGTGTAAAAGAGAGACACTGACTCTGTGGAGACACAGGTTTAACACACTTAGACTGCTGGGACTGGACTACATGTTGCACCTTACAGTTACTGGCAGATGTCATAGAGGACACCTGCATGGTTTGTCCATGTGACACCCTGGCATTGAATACACAGTGCTGTAATAATGAGTTCTATAGTTTTTTTTTTAATCTAGTAGTGTGAATGCAAGAAAACAATATATACTAGATATACTGCATCCACTTAGTGTGAATGTTCAGCACCAAGTACTGAAAAAATTTTGAATATAACTGTAACAGGGAACTGGGCTGGAGGAGACAAGCTCCAAGATTTATTACCATTTCTAAATTTTATGAGTTCTATTGTTTCCTTCGTTTGTTATCAGTGTTAGCTATAATGAGGGTTATAGGGGGAAAAAAAGAGCTGAAAAGAAGACCCCCCCCCCAAGGTGGCTCTTCTGTTCTGGCTTCTTTAGGATAAAGGCAGTCTTTTCCCTTTATTGTGTATTCTTACTTAGCAAGGTACAAAAGAGCAAGGAGAGTTTTACTCAGACATTTGTAAAGTTTTAAACACTTAAAATATATTTGTGAGAAATGGACCACAAAAGTGATTTATTAAGCATCCTAAGAGTTTCCTTATGATCATGTTAGAGATGCAAATTTTGAGCAGTTGGCCTGGTCATCTTGTAATATCTGAGGTATATCTTCACAATTGACATTTTTAAAGATAATGAGAATGGTTAGAATGAGAGGGAGATATAATTCATCCGACCCCACAACCTTATTTTTTTTTAAGTGTGAAATTCGTGCAGCAGGACTGTTCCCAAAAACGTGTGTGGGGGTGTTTTGCATCATTAGCACCCAGGAGCGGGGTCGGGTTTGCTTATTAATGGTACTTCTCAACGCGTTGCGGTGCGCTGGCTCACTTAGCAACTTCGGGAACTCAAGACTATGTATGAGTCTGGGCACGGTAATTCGCTCTCAAGGATTCTTTTCTTTAATTCTACCCAAACTTTGGAGAAACTATCATAAAAGTGCAGGCTCTCCTTGGAGGCGTCGTCCTTCTTTTCGCGAATGCTAGATTTGATCTTGTTCTGCACGCAGTTAAAAATACAAATGTCTGTCTCTCCGGCGGAGTCAGGTTAGGTACAGGTTGGTAGAATCCTCTGCTCTTAGAACGTGGAAGGTGAATGAGAAGGCTCGGAGCGCATCAGTTCTTCTGCTACGCAGCTGGGGAGAGGTAGGGGTTGGCGGCGGCCCGGGGAGGCCGGGACACTGACTCTACCCGCAGGCTGGCGGCGGGTCCCAGCGGAGGGCGGGGAGACGCTCCGGCGCCCCACCGGGAGCCACGCGCACTCCTCCTCCCCAAGCTCACACTCCCCACCCCGGCCCCTGCAGAAGCGAACGGAAAGGTGCCTGGTAGTGGCAAGGGGCTGGGAAGCCAGTGAGCGGCTCTGTGAAGGTCGCGGGGTTTGGTGCTCTAAAACTCCGAACAGTGGGAACTTCGGGCAATTTAAAATGCTCTCCTGCAGGGCTTTCTGCTCGCCAGCGGCGGCGGCGAGGGAGGGGGCTTTGGAAGGCTGGGATCCCGGAGCTAGTTTTGATGGGAACCAAAGTGAATAGAAAGTGGCATTGCCGCGGACAGCAGTAAACTTTTTCCCCCTCCCACAGCAAACAAAATTGAGGCAGGGGCAGTGTTGGGCTACAAAACTAAGGAAAGACTGGAGAAAGAGGCGGGGGATGGGGGGGAGAGAGAGTGGGGAAAGTGGGGTTGGAGGCTTTAGAGGACTCTAGAGTGCGCCCCTCGCCAGTTCATACTTGTTGGAGGTACTTGAACCCGGAGGCGAGCACTTGTTTTAGACAGTGCAGAGCTCGGGCTTGTAAGGAAGTCTAAGGGTTTAGTGCAGCCCTCCCCTGTCCGAAGGTCATTTGCGCTTTTCAGTCTCGGAGGAGAGGACACTCTGGAAGGAAAGGCGCAGGTCATTTTCAGATGCTCTGTGAAGGACGGGCCGCCTACCGGGGGTGGCAATCCTTAATTATACCCTTCTGCCTCGGAATCCATCTTCCCGGCAGTGTCTTGCACTCCCACCTCCTCGGGTGACTCAGCTGACCTGAAATGCCCACCCTACGGAAGATCAAGAAAAGTAGTTTTCTAAGAAGGTTAGAGGTTTGATTACACAGAGAAGTGTTTCCACTTAAGTCCAAAGCAATTACCCGCCCTTCCCCCAGGTCCTCCTCTCGGTCACCGGGAGAAGAAAAGGACAGACCCCCACGCACGTACCCCCACACTTTGTTGGTGCGTGTGAATTTCAAATGGCGCTGTAAGTTCATTAGTGTTTGCAATCAGCGGCGGGCAGACCCCTCATCAGAGCCGAAAGCCGGCAAGAGCCATTCATCAGCGTGAAGTGTTATTCATGGATGACCCCTAAATCACGGCAAGAGTAGTAGATGCACTGATTGGTCACAGCATGGGAGCCTCGGTGCTTTCCCCGAACCCGACGCGGCCGGGAGGAGGGAGGGAGGGAGGGGCGGCGAACGTGGTTCAGTCCGGCAAATCCCATTTGACAGAAAAAGGCAGTAAACGGGGAATCTCTTTTTTTTTGAATAAAGAAGAAGAAATAAAGTACCTGTCATCTTGACAAGTGGCGGAGCGGAGGAGTCAAGGATTATAAATGATCACAGCCGGGTCCAGCTCGCCCTGTGATTGGGCTCTCCCGCGATCAGCACCGGGGGAAGCGTATGGTAGGCTCCTCTCCCCTTCTCTCTCTCTCTCTCTCTCTCTCTCTCTCTCTCTCTCTCTCTCTCTCTCTCTCTCACACACACACACACACACACACACACACGGACACGTGTACGCGCCTGATCTCGGGCACACTCGGCCCGGAGCGTCCCCCCTTCACACAATTACGGTCCTGGATGCTGCTCCCTGGCACGGCGTCCTGCTCGCCTCCTCACCTTTCCCTCCTCTTCTTCCTCCTCCCTCGCCTCCTCTGTCCTCCCGCTCCCGGCCGAGAACCGAAAACTCCGGGCCGGCCTCGCCAGCCGCGGAGGAGGCTGGAGGGGGCCGGCGGGAAGGGAGAGGGGGAGAGCGCGGGGGAGAAAAAGAAAGTGAACTCATTGGCGCTCCGCGCGCGCTTCCCTCCCCTCGCCGCGTCCCTCGCCCGCCGGGGCCGGGCGGTGGGCAGGGAAGGAAGTTGTAACACTTGCTGTTCTCCCCCTCCCCGCCCCCTCTCCCACACTCCGCTCCCTTGGTGGGGCCCCCTCCCCCGCGCCCGGCTCCTTTGAATTTGGCCAAGCGCTGGGTGCGCGCTGCTCGGGTGGACGCGGCTGCTGCGGCCGGGTAACGAGCCGGCGGCGCGGGCGAGCCGAGCGCGGTAAGTGCGGCGCCGCCGCCGGCGCGCCCTCCTTCCTTTCTGGGGTCCTAGTGCCCGGGCCGTGGAGCCGGGAGCGGGCGGGCGTGCGGGCGGGAGCGAGCTCAGACAGCGCGTTTCTCCGAGCTGCTCTGGGAGGCGGCAGCAAGTTGGCCAGCCTTGCTGGCGGAGGAGCATCTCCTCAGCGTGCAGGCTCCCCTAGGTCTGGCCTCCGGGTTCCGGCCTCCCGGTCCCCGCCCCTCCCTCGGGTCTGACACCTCGACTGCGGGCTCAGGTGGGAACTTCACCCGCGCCTCTCACCTTGGGAGCTGGGCATCGCGCCCACGTTTCGGGGTGCCGCGGGCTGCCGGGTTCCCCGAGGAAGGCAGCCCAGAGCTGGGCGCTCGGTGGGGGCAGGGAGTCGAGACGGTCTTGCCCTCATCGGGATGATACGCAGTTTTGTGGCGAAGCCCCTCGTCCTCCACGAAGGTGTCTGACAGGATCCTGTGGGGCTTCCAGCGAGCGGGAAGCCTGGGATCACCACTTTTCTGGGAAGTGGAGAGAAGGCTTCCCCAACTGCCAGGCAGCCAAGTTGGAAAGGAGTGAAGGAAGGAGAAGTAGGGGCTGGGGGTTCTGTGGGGAGTGGTGGATCACCACTGAAACTTGATCTGGAAACTCTGGATGGGACTAGAAACAACAACAAAAACATATTCTCAACTGGGCGGACGAGTGTGCAACTCAGTGCCCCTTTCGTGTTTTACAACCGGTGTGAAAGGACTTCAAATATTTTAGGTTGAGGTGGGTTATGTCTAGTCTTTGCTGAGCATCTTACTATGCAGTCCGGTTCCATTCACTGCTTCACCTTCAAGATAGTTGTAAAGGTAACTTGTTAATTGTTATTGTGGAGAAAGGATAACTGTGTATAACACAGCAGATACATTTGTTTTCTGAGGTCATTATAATTCCAGGCTAAAGAAAAGTTTCCAGGTAGTTTTGAGTGGGTGAAATGGAATGAAAGTGCAAGAACTGTCCTTGCACTTTTTACAGGGCTCCAGGCATCTGGGATGCCTGGGAGCAGGGCTCTCTCTTCATAATACTTTATTTCTTATCTTCTGACAATGTATTTGTCAAACATTTGTAGACTCTGGCAGAATCCACTGGGTGGTCTTTTAAGTAGAAATAGAAATATGTTCAGGCATTACTTCTCCCTTCTGTTGTGAAATGGAGAGAGAGAGAGAGAGAGAGAGAGAGAGAGAGAGAGAGAGAGAGAGAGAGAGAGAGAGAGAGAGAGAAGGTTGACCTTTTTGGCTAGCTTGGAAGAGTACCCCCAAAAGTGGTGTTACAATTTAACAGAATTGACATGATTTCCTTAGTGCTAAAAATATGATGCATACCCCCTCTCTCCATCTCATACCTGCTTGGAAGAAGCATTTCTAATTTTTCCTAGTATATTAGGAATAGAGTTTATATTAGGAGTAGCTGTACAATTATAATTCATTATAAAATTTAATATTTCAATTAAAACCTAAGTTTTTATAAATACACCAGTACTCTTACTTCATGCATTCCTTGAATTCACTTGCAATTATCTAAAACTTCTAGCTTAATATTTGAAATTCTTGTATGAGCCTAGAAAGTTTCGATTTGTGATTCTAAATGCAGAGCAAATATTTAATTCTTGATCTAAGAGTGAGAGGTTAGTTCAGTAATAAGACTTGCTAATCCCACTTTAAAATGTCATGGCATTCACAAATTATTCCTAAATTCTTCAAAGATATGGGATTTATAATGAGTTTAGTTATTCTATTGTGTATTCCAGGATTGTGGTATCTCTCTTCCTGTTGCATTTTTTCTTGGCAATCTTGCCTCTTTTTTTTTCCTTACATGAATTTTAATATTTCTCTTATTCAGAGGTACTATTTTTTTCTAGTAGTAAATATATTTTATTTTAGAAAACTTAAATAGATATACATATATTATTAGGGAAAATTGTTCCTTTGAATGAGACAAATATGTATGTACCTACACTGCACAGTTTTATGGGAAAAATGTAATTTTACAAAAACTATTCCAGTGTTTATGTATTTGTAAAACTATGAGTATCCTATGCCAGTAGGTTAAGGTTATTAACCTATAGAAAGAGAATATCGACTCTAATAAAGATTGCTTCATTATTTGAATAAAGCAGATAGATTTTTAATAGAATTGTGACTAGTTATTTTTCCAAATGGAATCGTTTTGTATAACTGTTTATTTTCTAGAAAGAAAGGTTTTAGGTGAAGCATAGAGGCTTTTCTTACTAAAATCTTGTAGGCGTGTCATCAGTCTTTTGGTTGGAAAAGGAACCTGCTTTATTAGGAGGAAGACAAAGAAAGATAAGAAAGCTTATCTCTGAATAGAAGAGAGCTTCTAAATAGAGCAAAAAGTTTTAAATTTATTCAGGAAAAAAAAAAAAACTAGCTAAACAATAATGATCCAGTTAGTAAGTTCAAGCTTAGCTTTCTTAGCTTTGCTTCTGAGAGCTAAGAGTGATTATTCTCTTTGTAAAAAGTCAAACAAATAAGAAACCAGGAACAAGTGGATGGCTATCACTGTGAGTAGAATGACTGTCAGAAACCCTGAATCAGTGTTCAGCTGGATGTACAAAAAATGATGTTTTTGCAGCAGTTGTGAAAGTATGTTTGGATGAAGTTGATCCTATTTACAATTATATCTCCAGAAATATGTCCACAGTGAAATCTTAGTCAAAAATAAAAGTGCCATAAAGCTAACTTTATTAGTTATTAATATTGATTATTTTGACAAATACATATACCTTTTTTCATTAAACTTTATTTTACCCTTTAAAAATTTGATTTCTAGATGGCAACAGAATGTCATCCAGGTATTATTTTTATGTGAATCAGTGTATTCAGCAGCAGTAATGAATTGTCTGCCCTTTTCTTGAAGCTATGCTGTAGAGACCTGTTAAGCATATTCAATTATATATTGCCTTTTATCCAATATTTTATTTGTTAGTCAAATGTCCCTTTTGACTTTCAGGACATACTTCCTTTACGTTGGTTGAGAGTGTGAACTAAGAATATAATAATTTGCTGCCAAACTTTTTCTCTGATCTGTTCTTTTGTATTTTTAGTTGAAATCTGTGTTAATGTTTGTCTCATAAAGTGGGACGATTGTCCAGAGAAGAATTTAACACATACATTCAGAATGAAGAAATATACTGAAAAGGTAGCACAATAATACAATGTTATTTACACATTTCAACAACTGAGTTTTAAAAATTATTTCATGTAAACTTCTTTTAGGTCACATTTAAAACCTAATTTTGGAGATATTAGTTGTTTTAAGAGTCCTGATAAGAAATTTTGTGCTTTAAGAAAAAATGTCTTAGTCTGAAAACTGATTAATTGTTGTGTCTTATAAAACCTGATTTATTTTATACTTTTTTATACCAAGCATTACCATTATGAAGCTCTCCTTCTAATTGAGATTAATGTTTCTGAGCAAAGAAGTGGTTTGGAGGGCTGCATTCATTTTGAGTGCTGTTATAATCAATTTTAGATACAGCATTCCACAATGGATCAGTTTGCATCCAAACCTGCCTTATTATGTAGAATTAACTTGTTGGTGATTGATAGTAATACTTCTCCATCTTGAAAAGTCATTTGTTTTCAAACAAGTGTGATGGCTTGTATGAGTTACAAAATATTGCTTCTCATAATTAAAACATCCTTTTGAGGACCTAATTTGAACTTTTTGTAAGAATTATATGAAGCATGTGGAAACAATTCATTAATGTATTTTCAACTAAAATAGCCTTTTCCCCTAAATACAGTTTGCCTCAAGGTATAGTTTCTTGCCCATCATAGGGATTTTATAACTTTTTGAGTCATAAATGGTAATTATAATGCATCTAGATTATTTCCTTTTTTGTTTACTTCAACATTCTGGTGAATGTGTCAAAGATTTCTTAGAATATAATTGTACATCTTGTTCATGTGTTACAACTTTATTTCATTAGATAGTAGGCATAATCCTGGAAATGAAAGGTAATGCATATAGAAATATGGGGAATATTTTTGTACCTACTGTGATGTTTGCATTCGTTTCTTATTTGTATCCAGTCAGAGTCAGCTTAATTAGTTCATTTCTTCTGAAAGATCACATTAAGATTTTCTTGGTCTTTGATCCATATTGCATTCTTTATTGTAGTTTCAATATATTATACTTATAGTTTCTATAAAATAAAATATTAAAGGCATAGAAAATAAGATGATTAAAGATATTCTATATTGTGTATAGGATTTCTAAAGAAAGATATAACTGCTTTATAATGCATGTAAAGTTCACACAATGATATCATTCTTTAGTTTCTGGCAAAAAAAGACTTGGTAGAAACTATGTTCCTTGTTATATTTTAATTTTCTTCTCTGTAATGATAGATTATTGGCGTTAGGTTAGTGTTTTTCACATTTAAAACATTCATTTAATACAGTTTTAAATGCTCAAATAACGCATTTGAAATACCGTTTCTTAAGTGTTATCTTAGACCATGATGATATAAACTATCAAAATGTAGAAACGTGCATCAAGCTAAATAGGTGTGTCACCTAAACTACAATAGGAACCATTCATTTGAAGGAATTTTAATAACTATTTCCATAGTTTTGATTAAATAACAGGTGATCGGATTGTTACATCAGCTACATAGAATTTGTTAAAGATAGTGATCTACTCAAACCTGTGCCTTTCTACTTCATCACTTGCAAATTCATGTCAGTGTCATAGAACATACGTGTAAGTTATATGTGTACATGTTTGAAACAGTTTCAGATGATGATCACGATGA